GCTTGGGAGCACTAATTAGTGCTCCCACTAATTAGGTGGCGGTGGCAGTGGGTCCCGCCATTAATGATGTGATGTTTTGGTCTTGGAGTTGTGTTTTTTTTTTGTTTTTTTTATTTTTTTAATGCGTTAGTGCTATTAGTGGTGGTGTTTTTAGTGGGATGAATCATTGTTGAACAACAAATCACAAATGATGTAAATCATTTTGAAAATTATAAAATTTTATAAAAAAAGAAAATAAAAAAAAGAAAAGAAAGTAAAGTGGCTTCACTCATTTTTCTATTACCAACAACAATGCCAGTAGAAAGGCAGAATGATTTTTTTTTTTTAACCGAAAAAGGCAGAATGATTGAAAACTTCAAATTGTGAGCACTAAACACAAGTTTAACTGGTTGATGTGATATTTTGAATTATTTTTTATTAAGGATTGGTTTGGGATGTTCTAAAAAAATTGTACTTTTTGACTTATTAGTTTATATGAGTTAGGTTTGGGTTGCGTTTGATGTGATGTGTTAGAGAGGTGATGTGATTTAAATAAGGAAAATGTTTGGTAGCTCAAAATTTTGTGGCTCAAATGGCTCAAATCATTCAAAACGATGTCGTTTTACGCTCAAAATCTATCAAAACGACGTCATTTTGAGTGATTTGAGCCATTTGAGCCACAAAATTTTAAACTACCTAGCATTGTTGTTTAAATAAAATGATGCGATTTAAATAAGATATTGACTTTTTAACTTTTTGTATTATTTATATTAGGCCAAACTTGGCCTAATTATCACATCAATAAAGTTTTAATTAGAATTCTAATATTAAGGCCTAGTTTGGGAAGACTAAATAAGTGTATTTTTTGAATTTTTATGAAATATAGGTTGAGTTTGAGTTGGGTTTGAAGTGATGTGTTAGAGAGGTGATGTGACTTAAATAAGATGATGTGACTTAAATAGGATAGTGACTTTTTGACTTTTTATCTTTTTTCAATCTTCCTAAACTAGGCCTAAAGATCTGAATCACTTCTTTATAGAAAAAAAAAAATTAGATACGTGCATAAAAATTTCAGTAGTGAGACTCATATCCTATTAAAAAAAAATAAAAAAACTAAGATGAAAACATCATTATAGTGAGACTCAACTCCTATTAAATTTTTTAGAACTCACAAATTAAAACTCTAAAATATTTTTGTAGAAATTTATCACAGAACGCTCACAAAGTAAAATATGGAGTAAGATGTATCACTTTTGATTATTTTTATAATTTGTTCGATGAAAATTGTGAATCAATTCTCCTTTCCACTCTATCAATTCTCCTCTCCACTCTATCTCATATATATAGAATGAATCTTAAAGCATATCACTACAAAGAAGCCCAACCATCATGATTACATCACGCATGCAATTAAAAAAAAAAAAAAAAAAAACCTGAAATCTGCACATGTAGTAATCATCTCCAAAAAAAGCTCGCATGATCTGGACAGGCTTCATTTTAGGATTTCTAGGTCGAAACGGCATGGTGAGGGACACGAAAGCCCTGACCTTGTCCGGCCGAAACAGGCACAAGTACCAAGCAACCATGGCCCCCCAGTCGTGGGCCACTATAAACGCCTGATCGACTCCCAAAGAGTGGATCAGAGCCACAATGTCGCCAACTAAGTGGTGGGAAGTGTAGCTGGCGGCAGAGCCGGGAGCGTCGGTGTCACCGTAGCCACGGAGGTCAGGCGCCACCGCACGGTAGCCGAGGCCGGCAAAGGCGGCGATCTGGTGGCGCCATGTGTACCAAATTTCAGGGAAGCCGTGGAGGAAGAGCACCACTGGACCTTCTTGTCCTTTCTCTGCTAAGTGCATGTTTATGCCATTTAGGTTCACCATCCTGTGCTCTATCTCCTCCATGTTTATTTATTTATTTTCTGTCTCTCTCTCTCTCTGATTGCAAAGTGTACTTGAAGCTGAGATGAGATGAGAAGTGTGAGTCTACTATAAAGTGTACCATTTTATAGACACTTTTGCCTTTACTTCTTAACAACTTCAATTACTACTACTCCCTCCGTCCCAAAATAATGGTCCTTTTAGGGAATTCAACTTTTTTTGATAGTACAATTATTGCATTTGAAAAAAATTGATTTTCCAAAATTATCCTTTTGATAGTACATTTTTTGGGAATATCAATGCATAATTGTACTTTTTATGTTGTTTATTAATTTAAAAGAAGGGTAAAATAAGAAATTTATATTATTTTTGTACTTGATTTTTGAAGAGGGACTAATATTTTGGGACAATGAAAAATGGAATACGGGACTAATATTTTGGGAAGGAGGGAGTAGTACTTTTAAGAACTTATTTTTTTAATAGTATAATTATTATTTATTACATTTTAAAAATATTAAAATTTTAAAATTATTCTTTATAGTATAATTATTACACTTTAAAATAATTTTATTAAATTTAAAGAAGGATAAAATAAAAAATAAAGCACTATTATTTTGCCTCATATACATCACATTAATCACTTTTTTTAAAACTTTCTTTTCAAAATAATTTTCTAAAACCATTTTTAAAAAAAGACAAACCAAACAAGTTTTCATACTTTTTATCTCAAAAACTACTCTACAAACACAAACCAAACATGCCCTATATTTTTTAATGATTAATTTTTGAAAAGAAACTAATATTTTAGAATAATAAAAAATAAAACAAAGCACTACTATTTTGAAATAATAAAAAATGAAATAATAGACTAATATTTTGGCCAAATGAAGTATTTGATTTTTAGAAGTGTTTTTTTAATTTTTTTTTTGAACATGGAAAACATTTATATTAAAAACAAGAACATATAGAATAAGACCCCAAAGGGCCTTACAAATCATACAAAAAAAAAAAAAAAAAAAAAATAACAACAAAAAAAAAAATGAATCGGCCAAAAAAATCAATTACGAGTCAAGTAAGACCATCAATTTTCTCAAAGACGAAGGTTGAAAAGCAAGATTTTCTTGAAAGCTAGGCATCCCCATCGACGTCGTTCCCATTGCCGCTGTCGTCACTGCCGTACTTCAGACACCACCAGAAGCTGGAGATGAGGAGGAGGTACACCCACAATAATATGAAAAAAGACTTAAAAAAAGAGGGAACTATTTCGAATATAAAAAATCTACATTGACACTCTAAAATTACAGATCTATACTGAAGGAACGTAACTCAACCCTTTAGATTTATAATCAAACTCCTATCTCTGGAACTGTTTCTGTTTGTTTTAATAATTTTTTATTTTAACAAATGTCACAAGATTCTAAACAATTTGTGATTACAATTGTAAATATTTTACGATAAAACGATCAAAATCAAATGACCAACAATAGCACTACCAACACAGAAAAATGAAAAAAGAAAAGAAAAAGTGGCCTTATGCAATTTATTTTTTTGTGTACTTCTATGTGTAACTATTTTAATTTGCTAAAATGTTGAAAGATATAAAAATAGAGTGTTTATACATAATTTACATATAAAATGATGTGACATTTTATATATTTTCATCTCAAACTAAAAGAACTTATATTATTTTGACTGATCATTTCAAAAATATTACTAACACATCATTTGCTTATTTTGAAAAAAATTACAAAAAAAAAAAATAAAAAAATCACAGTTTGAGTTTTATAACAAAATAAATTGTGAATTTTTTATTTTATCAATTTAAACCCTATAACTTATTTATTTTTAATTTAAATTATTTGTCTATATCTTCGTTAAGTAAAATTAACTAAAAAATAATATTTTAGTCATTAATGTTGGTGTATAAAAAAGTAAAAATACCATCTTTTTATCGAGTTTAATGATTAAAATATAACTTTTTTATTAATTTTACTTAATGAAAATATACAAATGGTTTAAATTAAAAACCAACCAAAAGATTAAAGTTTAAATTAACAAATTAAAAACTCAATTTAACTTGTTGCAATGCTTTAGTGTTTTTTTTTTTTCTTTTGTATTTGTATTTGTATTTGTATTTATATTTGTATCTGTTCTTTAAAAAGTTAAAGAAGTCAAACCAAACAAACTTTTAGTCACAGATTAAAATAGTAAAAAAAATTAAAAAGTTAACTAAAAAAAATTTATTACCAAATGACGACTTAGAGTTATTTTAAAAAGTAAATTAAAAATTGACTTTTTTATTTTTTAAAAAATAAAATAAAAGAATCAATTTTTATCCACTTGTCAAAACAGCCTAATAAACTTAAAATTTTACAGTAGTTGGTCAGTTTGAAATGATGAAATTGTTCTCCTGGAAAGATAGGGTTTCAAATAAATTATAATTTTTTTTTTAAATCTTTTATATGGATGTGAGACTCGCACGTATGTGATTTGTATGAGTCTTATAATCATATGAGAGGTTTGATAGAAAATTTAATAATTTATTTAGAGTGCATAACATTTTTCTAAAAAGGTTACTTGAGACCACGTGACACTGGCCCATTTTTGGAACATAGATTAAAAGCCAAAAGTCATGTTTAACCCATTTTAAATCAAATTACCTTTCACATAAAATAATAAAAAAAATTAAAAAAATCAGTTTTTAACCATTTTTTCAAAACACCCACTATAAAACAAACGTTTTTGTTTAGAATGATATGACGTTTTGTGATAATTTAATTTATAATAAAAATATCTACTAATATTATCATATATCACTTTCTTTCTTTTTTTTCGTTTTATGTTACTGAATTATATGATTATTTAATTTTATTAATTGCTTCACAATTCTTCGAATAAAATAATTAATTGAAAAACTTCTTATAAAAATGATATAAAATTGTAACAAAAAATCTATAATAAATAGTAAATATTATTACCCATCAATAATCTGCACAGGGTGATGTTACAATGGCCATCTTCATAAATTATATTTTATTTATTATGTGATGTGGTACCATTAAGGCTTTGTTTGGGATAAAATAAAAAAATCAAAAAATTATTTAAAAATGTTAAAAAGTCTACATTATTTAAGGATAGCATGTTGGGGAAGTCATTAGGATAAAATTATTATTTTGTCCTTTAAATTTAATTACCCAAAAGTCCAAAAAGTCAAAGGGATAAAATGGCCATGTTGATTTTACTATAATATTTTATTACACATCTTTTCGTAAAAAGTTAAAAATTATTCCAAACATACATGTTTGGTTTGTTTTTCAGAAAAATTTTTGGGAAAAATTCTGTATAAAAAAGTTTTCAAGAGTAATCAAACCAAACAAATTTTTTCAAAAAAAACCTCAAAATTTTGTTTGGTTACCTACTTTTCAAAATCACTCTCTTTCTCATGCACATCAAATCAATCACTTATTTTTAAAACTCTCTCCCCAAAATAATTTTTCAAAACCATTTCTGAAAAAAGGCAAATCAAACAAGTTTTCGTACTTTTTATCTAAAAAATTACTCTACAAACACAAACCAAACATTTCTCTACTTTATTAATAAAAAAGTCAAAAAGTACACTTAGATAGCACATCTCAAACAACTACTATGTTTGAGAAGTTGGGTTTGAGGATTTTTTTGGTTAAAATAGCCACAAAAAATAAAATAAGTTTTTTTGTCTAATAAGACAAAACATTACATCCAACCCATAATCATTACATTCTTTCTCTCACAAAAAGGTTAAAAAAGCCAAAAAAGTCAAAAACTCTTCCCAAACCAAACTTTTTAGCCCCAGGCTAAAATAGTCAAAAAAAATAAAAAAATTAACTCACTTTTCAAACGAAGCCTATATTAGTAGCAAATATAAGTGATGAAACTCCTATTGAACCAAATTTTAACAATGGGAGATGATAAATCTAATATAGTCTTCGTTTGGGAATAGTTAAAATAGCTTAATTTTTTGATTTTTTGCCTATTTTAGCTTGACTTTTTTAGCTTCGTTTGATTTTTATTTTTTTATTTCTTTAACTTTTATGAGAGAAAAAGTATAAAATTATGATTTGGATGTGACATTTTATCTTATTGACTTATGTAACTAATGTCTTTTGTATTTTTTTAGCCAAAAAGTCAAAATCAAACATAAAAGGGTTTGGATTTTTTAAGTTGGTTATGGAGGGATTGAATTTTGAGTCGATTTCAGTGATTTAAATCGTTTACTTTTAAAAAAATTTGAATAAAATATTCATACAAAAAATTGAAATGATCAGACATTGGTAGCTTTATTTTTTAATTACATTTATTTAAATTAAAAAAAGATGACAAATACAATTTCAATAATAGGCATTAATTTTTAATTATACAAATGAAATTCAAATATACATCTATCAATATTCGATCATTTTGATCAATAAATTTTAAAAAGTGAACTATTTAGGTTACCACAATGAACTACAAAATGGACTCACCAATTCAAATTTGTTCTCTCAAATTAGCCAACTTTAAAAAATTCAAACTCAATTTAAAAATAGTCATTGGTCCTCTTTAGTGTAACTGATTGTAAGAAAAATGCTAATTATAAAACATAAACTAAAAGCACATCTTCTTCAGTTTTTAGAAATTATTTTTTTAGCTGATTTAAGTTATTTTTTTCTAATAAATTGTAAATGGAAGTTGTCACTACAAGAAAACACATTTTTGGCGACCATTTCTGGCTACCAAAACAAATTTAGTCGCCAAAAGTGTGGGAATTGGCTACCAAAATTAATTTTAGTCGGCAAAAGTGAACTTTTTAGCTACTAATTTTTTTTAGTAGGGGAATGTTGATTATTGGCCACTAAAATAAATTTAGTAGCTAAAAATATTACAATTGGCAACTAAAAAAATTTTTAGTAGCTAAACATATCACAATTGGCGACTAAAATAAATTTTAGTAGCCGTAGAGGCACCTTTGGCTACTAAATTGTTTGGTAGCCGAATGAAAATAAAAAAATTTATTTTTGATCTTTGACGATCAAAA